TAACTTGCACTGAAGCAGCTGCCGCCCGCTGCAGTGCTGCTCCTAACCCGGTGTGCCGCCAGCGAGGCCTGCTGTCTCTCGGGTATTAACTCTTAATCAGAAGCCGCAAGTGAGACAAGGCCTGACCCTGAGTCAGGGTGACGGTTTCTCCCGAGCTGCCCCATCCCACGCCTTCCTGCAATGTCTTAGGTCGCCCGTCTCTGAAACTCCGCACTGTGCCCACATGTGAGGACGCAGCTTATGGAAGGTTCAGGCACAAGTGTCGAGTCTGGTGCTCTGTGGAGTTTCTTTCACTTTGGCAATGTCCCAAAAGTGTTTGTTGAGTGACGGGCTGAGGTCTCTTTAGGCTATAGAAATCACAAGATGAGCAGAGAAAGGGAAGTGAGGACAAGTGCGAAGAGGAAGAGGAGGCTGGTGTGTTGGTGCCGAGTTAGCACACTACCCCCGGGGCTCCGGGGGATGTGCCCCCTGTTGTGCATGTCAAGGCGGCCAGGTGATCGGGCCGATAAAGCCATCACAGACTTGTGTTTCCGACCTGACCTTTCTCTGCCCTAGCACACTCCCTTGTAAGGGAGTGTCGGCATCTGGCAGCTGCAGGCGGTGTGGCAAGAGAAATTCCCCACTTCCTCCTTTCCCGCCTTAATCTTCCACTCCTGCTGCCTAATGGTATATAAAGGGGTCGCTGGCAATAAACGAGACTCCTGGATGAAGAACCTCGGCGGCCTGTGTTTTCTTTAACCTCATCGTCCCTCGCCGGACTCGGCTCCGATCAGCCGGACGCGGCACTGGTGGAGGACCCGCGGCCTGTCACCTGGAGGAGGAGCTGGAGCAGAGTCACCGGGCGCGGAGCTCCCAGTGGGGTGGAACCTCTGAGGGCTCCTCCCGGGTCTGCCCAGCACTTCCATTTTCCCAGAGAGGACCAAACCCTGTGTGAATGGATGGACACTCGGGTCTGTCTGTCCTTCCGGACGCCACCGAGGAGGCTGCTGTGCCTAGCGGGTGCCTGTCCAGACGCAGGCTGGCCTGCGGCTGCTCCCCAGAGCCTGGTGACGCTGAAGTCGTGCCGAGCTGAGGCCCCTCCTCCCGGTCTGCGGGTGCGGGCAGGGCACGACCCTGCGCCCTGGCTCCCTGGCCGGGTGCTGAGCCCCTCCGCCCACCCTTGTCTTTGGGCGCTGCGGAGTCTGGCTGCAAGGGGCGCTGAGAGTTCTCCAAGTAAAGAAGCAGGGAGGCTCTTCACAAGTTTTAAATTATTTAGTTGCATCAAACATTCGGATTTGTGAGGACAATAGCAACCCTATTAAAAACTCCAAGCATGTGATGAATGAACGAAATGCAGGTCCCAGCTCCCAGCCCACATGCTGGAATATTCTGAGAGTTACTCAGGCTCATGTAGGTCAGCCTCCAGCTCTGAGCACAGGGCAGGCACAAAGGCATCGCAGGCTAGGATCTGTGGCAGAGCATTTTCACAGCAGTGAGTTTCATTGCACGGGACCCTCACCGCCCAGAGAAAGGAGGTATTCAACTTAGGAAGTCAGAGCCGGGAAGTTCACACAAAGTCATGGCTTTTGGTGCAGGGGCTAGGCCTGCTCTTCCCACAGAGACTCGCTGATTCAGTTGTGAACAGATGTGAGATTACAGCTGCTTAGTGAATGCTCCCTATATGGCAGAACATTCGCACCCACACACACGCTTCTTAAATGCCACAAATATACATACTTTATATATACATACTCATTAAAAAAAAAATTAAAACTAAGGGCCCTCCCTGGTGGTGCAATGGGTTAGGACGCAGCACTGCAAGCTGGCCACAGCCATTTCAATGAGAGTTCGATCCCCGGCCCTGGAGGTGACCCACATGGCACAGCAGACCTCTCCTGCCTCGCCCTCTGCTCCCCTCAGCAGTGTCCCCTGCCGATCTACCTGTTCTGCTCCCCACCTGTCTCTGGTGAATCCTCTCACTGCCCCTGCACCTCTGGCTTGTACCTCAATTCTATATGCATAATAAATATATAAATCGTAAAAAAAAGAAATTTCGGCGCTCCCTGGTGGCGCAGCGGGTTAAAGCACAGCACAAAGAAACTTAAACCACTTCAGCATGAGTTCGATTCCCGCCTGCCCCGGAGGTGACCACATGGCGCGGCAGACCTCTCCTGACCTGCCCGCTGCTCCCCTCAGCAGTGTACTTCGTTGATCTGCCTGTTCTGCTCCCCACTCACTCTCTCTCTGTTGAATCCTCTCACCCTCTGCATCTCTGACCTGTACCCCAGTTCTGTACGAATAAATAAATAAAAATCTAAAAAAAAAAAAAAGAAATTTCATTATCTTTTTTTTAAAAAAGTCAAAACCCAAAACTAAACCAACAATAAAATAAGCCGGGTATTATAACTTGTGTTATACAGTTAAGAAAAGTAAGTCTCACAGAGGTTTAAAGTCACATTATGGTCTTTCTGATTCCCAGCCTGGGGGCTCCTTCCACCACACAGCAACTTCTCTTCTCTCACAAGTTTCCAGGTCTACCCTACATGAAATCTGGCAGCTCAGTCAGACCACAAAAGCCAGGGATCCCCTCTCTACAGGTGACTTATGGGAGGAGGAGGGGAAGGGTGTCGGGGAGGGGCAGGGACATCAGCCAGGTCCTGCTGTTCACCTTAGTAGCCAAGGTAGAGGGCCGTACTCAGTGGTAATGCGGCAAAGTTTACGCTTAAGATTCCAGATTTTTGGTGTTTATTATACTTCAATGTAAACTTTGTTTGAAAAAAAAAAAAAATCCTTATTCTTAGCAACTCATGTTGGAGGGGAGTTCTGCTTCCCTCAGCCAATGTAGTTTAGCAAATGAACAAGCCAAGTGAACTTGGATTCTGTAGCACAGTAGTTTGTAAAGTGACACAAATGTGGGTCCCTCCCTAGTGGCTCAGGAGTTAAAGCGCAGCACTATGAAGCTGTCCACAGCCACTGCAGCATGAATTTGATCCCTGGCCAGGGAGGGACCCACAGGGCGCAGCAGACTTCTCCTGTCTCCTCACTGCTCCCCTCAGCAGTGGATTTCATTGATCTGCCTGTTCTGCTTCCCACTGTCTCTCGTGAATCCTCTCCCCCCCTACACCTCTGGCCTGCACCCCAGTTCTTGTGTGCCAATAAATAACTTTTTAAAAAATTGAAAAAAATAAAGTGATACAAATATGTTGGTGCTCTGCCCCCTTCCAAAACAGTTCCTACATGAATCACATATTAAAAGTCATAATAAAATCATATCAGGAAGGGGTGATGGCCACAGTGTGAAAGGAGAACTTTCTATACTCATCGGTCACTCATTGGGCGCTACAGCTTCTGCTCTCAGGGTGCTCGCAACCCAGCCAGAGACTGAGCCTTACCAGTAAGCAGCCACTTGCATTCAAGTAGAGCAGAAGTTGTAGGAACAGGCTGTCTTCCTACGGGGTGATCGATAAACCCGAAGGAAGCATAAGTTCTCACGGGCCACAATCTACCTTTCGTGTGGAGGTAATTTAGGTTGGAAAGACGACCCTTGATCAATAATTTATAATCATTGACCTCCAAATCTTAAAGCTTTCAAAATGAATATTTATATCTTTATTAGATGATTTAGACCTGGAGAGATCCATCTATTTCATCACCAGGGTACTTTGCAGTTGATGTGTAAGTACGTGTCTTTGTCTGCCTGCGCTTTCTATCAGTGCATTTCATAGCCCCAGATAAACAGACCTTCTGCTAGTTAACTTCAAACTTCCTGATTGAGGCAGTTATAAATTTTTCTTCTCTAGACTCTAGAGGTTGAGTGACCTGGAAGGAGAAATTACATGGGCTATTCAAACCTATAGATCTACATTCGTCCAAAGTCCATTTTCCATCCTTTGCATCAGACAAAACATGGCACAGAATCATAACCTGAAATTTCAATGTGAATATTTATTTCCAAGAGATCTTGTTAAAGTATGAATTCGGTTTCAGTTTCTCTGGGTGGAGACTTAGACTTGAAGTTCCTACAAGCTCCCAGGTAACATCAATGCGGAGGTCTGAAGACCTCATTTGCATAGAGAAAAGAACATTTGGAATATTAATTTCTGGCTTTTCGTGCTAGCGAGGCCGCTACTGTATTTTCTTGTCACTTTTTCTCTTAGATCAGATGATTTCAAAGCTTGCCTTTATGCAATTTTCAGGGAGGTATTTTGATTGAAATAATATCCAAGTAAAGGACCATCCGCAGTTTTTCAGAGTTCTAACAGATAAATCAAATAACCAAAGCAGGAAATATAAGAGCTCAGTGAGGAAGGCAGAAAAAGGATGAAGAGCAATGCTGACTTCCTAATAGCAACTAGATGGCTTTGATTCTTTCAAAGTGATGGGTTTTTGGATTTCAAAACAGAGGCTGTTCCTTTTTTTTTTCTTCCCTGAATGGTGATTTCAAGAGGAGACCTACATTTCTGAGATTTTGAGTTGCATAAGAAACTTGAGTGAGGGAAGCAAGGGCTGAGTTAGAGCTTTGAAATAAGGCAACACTTTCAAGAGGCTGTGAGCAAGGCGCTGCTGGAGAGCAGCTTTCTGGCACCAGGATGGAGTGTGGTTTGAAAACAACCATTTATTTCTCCTGCAGATAATTTCTATGCCTGATTTCAGCCAAGTTGGCAGGGACTCAGGACTTTGACTACAATTAACAGACCTAAAGGGGCTGGAGTTTGTGGTGAGGCAAGGATGGAGGGATAAACACAGCCTGCAAGGATTACAGAGATGAGCGTGCTCGGGTTCAAAGGCACAGGAGAGACACAGGTGATACAAGTGAAGGAGATGCCCTTCGCAGTTCGAAGCTCTGCTGGCGGCCCCTCCCCCACACCACGCATCCGCTTTGAGCAGTAAACAGGATCGTACAGACCTACAGTATCCAGCTGTTTCTCTTTAACTCCCAAAGTGAAGTCAGGCACGGAGAGAAGTCCTGGCGACGCCCTCTTCCTGCTTTGACATCAGGCAGGACCGGAGGAGAGGCTTACCTTATGCAGGACGTGCTCATAGAAGTCAGGGCCAGCTCCCCCTTGATAGGAGTCGAGTCTCTGCAGTTCCATTGCCCGGCCGGGAGCCCGCTGCCTCTTGCTCTCTCAGCGTTCTGCGTCAGCACTGGTCGCAGCCCTGTCCGGGCTCCCCGGGGTGCGGCAGGCGGGGTTCTGAGCGCCGCGGGCCGGGCTGCATCCGGGTTCAGCACTGGACAGCTCCCGCCCGCCCGTGGCTCCCGGGCCGCAGCAGCCGGCCTCCGCGTTTCAGCACCTGGACCAGCGAGGCTCTCTGCGCTCCGCGACCGGAGTGCTGAGATCCAGGCTGCTTAGAATCCAGCGCCCTGACTCCAGAAGGCGGGAAGGCTGCAAGATTTCAGTCTAGCCGCTAGTCCGTGCGTACCTTTTAGCTACTGGACTCTGAAGGCGCAGCGACACGCTGCGTTCTCAGGGCATCTCGGTCCCTGGAGCTCACTGTTCCCGAGAAACCAACGTCCAAGTCACGACCTGCTCCCCGCCTGCGTTTGCAAAGCCCTGCGGCACTGGCGCCGCGCTCTCTTGGCCTCTGAGTAATTTTTTCCTGCATGTTATGAGGAAACATAACAGATGATGGGGCCTTAGGGGTTCCTAAAACCTCCGAATTATTGTGTTAAAATCTGTTTGATTACATTTTCATAAGAGAGGGCTCAGAGTTTTCATTACACTTTCTAGAGCTCATATGACCCCCCCCAGAACTTAAAAACAAGCGGTTACACTTCAAATCTTGGTTCTCAGAGCTACTATTTGTATAACACTGGGCAAGTACTTGACTTCCCCTAGTTGTCCACAAACGGAGATAGTAAGAGTGTCTACTTTATGAGGTTGTTTTGACGATTTAGTGAATTAACTCATGTGAAGAGCCTAGAACGGTGCCTTGCATATATTCAGAACGCAGGAATATTCACTGCAATGTCCTCTGGACGACCCTCAAGGGGATGGAGGGCCTGGCTACATCCCCAAACACGTGGAGAGTCCTGCTGCTGGGACCCTCGATCATCGGGAACACCACCGGGAACAGGAGTGCCTGAGGCTCACCCCCGGGGAGACGGGTGCCTCAGGGTGACCCTCAGCTACAGCAACAGGCACCAGTCCTAGCCCCTCTGACTGCTGAGCTGGTATCAGTATGGAGGGTAAGGTCTAGGGTTAAAAGGTTGCATTTTGCCCCTGGGTTTCTACTCCTTTTAAGTTGGGTGGCCTTAGCCAAATCACTTATGTTCTCTGGGTGTTTGTGTTTTCTATAAAATGGACTGAGTGGGGCTCTCTCTGGTGGCGCAATGGGTTAAAGCACAGCACTAAGAAGCTCTCCACAGCCACTATAGCCTGAGCCTGATTCCCAGCCAGAGAGCTGACCCACATGGCATGGCAGATCTCTCCTAGACCACCTGCAGTTCCCCTCAGCAGTATATTTCAGTATTTATTCCCTTGTCCTATTCCCCACTCTTTCACTGGTGAATCCTCTCACTCCCACACCTCTTGTATGTATAAATAACACCTAGTTCTTATATGCATACATAAATAGATTGTTTTTTAAACAAGAAGTACATTATTATTTTTTAAAGATTTATTTATTTATGTATACAGAACTGGACTACACGCCAGAGGTGCAGGGGCAGTAAGAGGATTCACCAGAGACAGAGTGGGGAGCAGAACAGGCAGATCAAGGAAGCACACTGCTGAGGGGAACAGCCAGTGAGACAGGAGAGGTCTGCCACACCATGTGGGTCACCTCCCCGGCTGGGGATTGAACTTTGTCAAAGTGGCTGCAGCCAGCTTCATAGTGCTGGCCCCATCCCACCAGGGAGGGCCCAACAGAAGTACTTTAAATAGAGAAATGACATGGCCAGATTTGGGTTTTAAAGACATTACTCTGAATGCTGTGGATTAAGAGCCAAGAATAAATGTGCTCCTTTTTTTTCTTATTGATTTATAAAAGCTCTTTATATATTGAGGACATTGATTATTTATGCAATAAATATTTCATTTAGGTGCATACACATTTCTTGGGGAATTGACTCCTTATCATTTTATGGGTGGGAATGTGGACTTCTAGGTCTTTACTTGTCAGAGTTGAAGTTAGATGTCCTTCATTTAGAATTAAAGCATCATGTCTCTTGTAAAAAAATTCCAAAAACCCTTCAATCTCTAATCGTGTCTGGAATTTTGGGTAGCATTTTAAATTAACATGATAATTTTCAACAACCCCTTAGTCGTTATATCTTGGATTAGTCTCTTTGTTATTGGAGGTCACTCAAATGTCACTGATAAGTATAGCAAGTCCTTGAATGATGTCATTAAAAAAAAAAGATGTATTTATTTATGCATACAGAACTGTGGTACAGGCCAGAGGTGCAGGGGGGTGAGAGGAT